TCAGCTACCCAAGAGCAGAGGTGGAGGAGACAGAGACAAAGGTAAGGCCAGTTAACGTGAACAGGCTGGATGTAGGAGGGGGCTCCACGCCCACATGCAAACAGCACCACACATCCGGGGAGAGGCAAAACCAGCCAGGAGCAAGCAGCAGGCACTCTGGGGTTGGAGTGAGGGACAGAAATGAAACCCTGTGGCCCTGTGTGATCCAGGTGACTAACAGAACTACATTTACTGGGGGTGCAAGGCTTTCGGGAGTCGATTGAGTTTCTCAGTGCACAGATAGGGTGAATGAATCCAGAGGGAGGAAGGATCTATCCAAGGCCACTTAGCAAATAAACACAAGATTCAGGACTACTCCGGTCTCCTGACCCCCACCCGGGCACTTTCACATGGCCTTTTTTTTTTATCAGTGGCTGGGAAATATTGTGCTGTTTTGCTTGGTCACCACCATAAAGGAGTGTCTGCACCGGTATGACTGGAGCCTCCAAAAGCTGGTGAGGCACAAAAGCTGAGCAAAGGAGACGAAGAGCTAAGGACCCAAGACGTTATAGACAACTGAACAGCAGCCGCCCTCCCACAGAGACTCTCCCCCTTGGCGGTCAGTGACCTGCTGCTTAGTGAGCCCCCACAGACCTCGAAGGTGAGGACCCCGCTCCACCGCAAGCTAGTTCTGAGGCCGGGCACAGAGCTCTCCATTGCTGAGCTCAGTGTTCTCATTTAGTAAAATGGGGATAATCATGTCTGCCTCACGGACGTGTGGTTAAGAGCTGAGTAAAGGAACATATGTCAAAGTCCCTGGCACTTAGCAGGGTTTGGGCCAAGATGAACTAGACTCTTCCCTCCCTTCTTCCTCTGAATCTGGCAGGCCCAGCCTGCCCCGCAGCAACCGTGTCCCTAGGGAGAGATGACTGTGTCTGAGTCCCTCCAGGCCAGGACCACAGACAACCTTGCCAACAAAAGCAATGACTAGAATGGAAGTGAAGCTGGCCCACGTTGGGCAGGTGGAGGGATCAGGATGCGGAGCTCTACTGCAGGCTCCAGGTGGCAGTGCCCACAAGGTCCCAGAGCAGGTGATGGGCATGGCCAGCCCAGAGGCGGGGAGGCAGTGGTTTTATGTGGGACCTGGAATCACTGCCTGATGGGTTGTGGGTGCCTGGCCTCCTGAGGGCATGGTGGCCCATGCCTACCTGCGAGTGCCTGGACCCCCCACGACATGTCAAGGAGCTGGGGAAGGGGTGGGATCTGGCAGCCCAAGCAGACATGGCACAACCACACATACACCCTCAGCAAAACCAGCCTGCTCCCCTTTTCCCCACCAGCTCTGAAAGGCCACCCCGGGAACGCTGCAATCTCCTCTGCAGAGATACAAACACGCACAGCATGAGATTCTGTAAATATGGGTCCAGATCCCATGACCCTGGAGGGAGGGAGGCTCCAGACACTCCCTAGTCTCCGAGTCCAGCTTCTGGGAGATGTGGCCCGAGCTGCGACTGAGGCTGAAGGGCCTCAGGAACAGGCAGATGGCCTTTGCAAGGACAAATAACAGGGCCTTGTGTGAGGATAAAGAAATGCCCTCGATCTAAACCCAAGACTGCTTTTGGGAGGCCACATCTAATCCCAGAACAGAAAGTCTCAAGTATACAGCAAGAAGTTTAGGGAACAGCAAAGCAAATGGCAGCAGGCCCCTACAGCTTCTCAACTCCGGGCAGCGACGCCCAGCCTCAGAAACTGAGACTAACTCGTCAGATTCCAGCAAGAGCACAGGCACTACAAGAGAATGAATGGGTGGGGGATGCCAAACAGGCTGGGGAGAATGACAAGACCCTGAGACACCCCCTCTCTTTCTCATGAAGATAGCCCCAGCCTAACGGCAACTCTGGATCTGTCTCTCCAGATCACGTGTGTGGCTCTGAGGGATTGTAGAGAATGTGGGTGTAGGCCTGCTGGGGGAGTGTCTGGTCCTACCACTCAGACAGATGGGGCCTCTTCAGACTTCACAGAGCTTGCCCCTTCCCAGCAGCTGCCAGGTTAGTTACTCCCCTGCCCCCAGCCCATCCCCCAAGCTGGTCCAGTCTGAGAGAGATTAGGATTCTGCTTTCAAGCACACTCTCTGTCATGTTCAAGATTTCACAAATGCCAAGGAACTTGGCTCCTGTTTTCAAGAAATGTTCAAGTGTATTGGCTCTGGACAATATGCCATAGTTCGCCTGATGTTCCATCCCCCGACACAGGCCCCTGAGATAGAGGCTGCAGAATACTAAGTACTTCCTGGGTTTACATCAAAATAAAGAGGAGAGGTCAGATTTACCTCTCTGCCCACACCGCCCTTGTGTGGCCCTCTCCTCTGGCCTAGCGTGTAGACTGGCTCCATGGTGCTTCTCCAGAAAGGCACCACGGTGTTGCTGTGATACCCATGTGCAATTATTGCCTCCCCTGAGTTAGCAGAGGTTGACACTGTGCTTTCTCGGGCTTTAAATACGAGTCCCCAGTAAGACCTTATTAACCACTTAGCTAATAAGCACTTGTGCCGCTGAGCTTCCATGCAATCCTGACTTGGGGAGCAATTACGGAAGCACGTAGAGGACTATGAGGTTGCTATAGGGTGTTGCCAGAACATGCCTGTGCAGTCTCGAGCCGGCTCAGTTGTTCTACCAGCACAGAACACTGTCCATTCACCTGGCCAGGGGATGAAGGGTGAAGACCCTGGTTTTTTATTATGGGCCAAAAAGGCTCCTTTCTCCCAGTTAAATCCACATCCCCACTCTGTGACTGCGGCTTTCTTCAGAATAGAATGAAAGCTTCCTTAAGGAAATTAGCAGAGTCTTCTACATACCTGTCCCAACCTGATGGAAACCAGCCCAGAATCACCAATGGCCAATACCGAGAGGTGGATGGGTACTTTCTGGAGAGGTCACAAGGAGACCAGGTGATAGAGAACTTATCTCAAGGGGTGGGAGGGGACCCCTCAAAGCCCACCAAAGACCGGTGTGAAGGTGGACATTAGAGTAGGGATCATAGCTTCTTTTCTGTTTCCTGACAGCGGGATGCCTCATTGGCTCCGTGAGAGTGAGGACATGAGCAGCTGGACTTGTGCTAGCTCAGTGCTTCTCGTACTATCAATGGTGAATGGCTACTTTTTTCTTTTTTCTTTTTTTTGTCTCTAATCTCTTGTGGCCTGCTACGTTTGAATACAATAAAAATGAATTACTGGAAATACGATCACATACTTGGATGTGTGGCAATGTCCCATTGCTTTACATGTGTCGAACGCTTACTCTTACTTGCTGTGCTCATTGGGTCACAGGCCAGTACCTGCCTGTGGACCACACTTTAAGTAGCACTGCTCTAGTTAACCAGGAGATTATCAGGCTCTCAGGATCCTGAGAAAGAGATGCTCAACTTGTGGAGAAAGTTCTAGAAAACGCGGCCTGATATTGACCTCGGAGTAAGATCTGGAGGTTTTTAACAACATCCTTGCAGAGCTGCCAAAGAGTCAGTAAAGAATCTGGGCTGCTTCTCAGATGGCACTGGGCTCTCAAGAATACTTGGCAGCTGATGAGTCCAAAGCACTGTCACTAGTACAGCTTCGCATTTCCACATTCTGGGACTTCTTTTCTCCTGTCTCAGATGGCCTTCACTGGGGGAGCTGCTACTTGCTTGGGTTCCCTCCTCTACATGACTAAGAATATCTGGCCCACCCAGGACGAGAGCACTGGCTTCTTTCCCCTGAGTAAACCCAGATTCTAACATGGTGACATAACTGTTCTCACAAGCACCATCACCAGAGGCTAAAGAAGATGGCTCGACCTCCACAGAGAGGCATTCCTGAGGCGATCCTGTCATTCC